TATTTATTTGCTTTCCCTCTGCCCTCCCTCTCCTGAAAGATGCTTGCACCCTCTCCTTTTACAAACCCATCTACCGCAGGAAATTTGAATTTAAGATGCAGGTAAGCACATGGTTGCCAGTTCCTTTCTGGGCCTAACTCAGGGTGCTCATCTTAGTGTTTAAAGTCCTAAATGACACAGGACCCAAATGGCTGGAAGTCTGCCTCCTTCTCTACAGACCTTCCCAGGTGTTAAAATCAGTGGAGCGGTCCTCTTGACAGTTCCACCTCCCTCAGAAACTTGGAGTGGGGGTGGCCTGGGAGAGAGCATTCTCTGTGGCAGCCCCTGAGTTGGGGAATTCCCTCCCGACTGATGCATGCCTGACACTTTCACCTTGCAACTTGCGGCGGATGCTGAAGATGCACCCCTTTATCCTGACCTTCGACACCTGAGATGCGTGCTTTCAAGACTCACTCTATTCCTGTTTTAACTGTTTTAAATTTTAAATTGTTATACCCACCCTTGGACCTGCTGGTGAAAGGTGGGTAATACATTTATTAAGGTAAAGGGACCCCTGACCATTAGGTCCAGTCGTGGCCGACTCTGGGGTTGTGGCACTCATCTCGCTTTATTGGCCGAGGGAGCCAACAGCTTCCAGGTCATGTGGCCAGCATGACTAAGCCACTTCTGGAGAACCAGAGCAGCACACGGAAACACCGTTTACCTTCCCGCTGGAGCGGTACCTATTTATTTACTTGCACTTTGATGTGCTTTCGAACTGCTAGGTTGGCAGGAACAGGGACCGAACAACAGGATCTCACTCCGTCGCGGGGATTCAAACCGCCAACCTTCTGATCAGCAAGTCCTAGACTCTGTGGTTTAACCTACAGTGCCACCCACGTCCATTTAGTAATAAAGTAATAAAAACAACACTGCTGGTATACCAGGAAGAGGAGGGCTGCAGCCTTATAACAAGCAGATTCCCCATGTCCCAGTTCCATCTGAACTGAGGCTGGGCAGGGGTGGGTGAGTACATTTAGGCATAATTTATAAGACATGAATACATCACATGTATAGAGCACTTGAGGAGGCTGTTCCAAGCACTTGTTCCAAGCACATATGTTAGCTTACTGTAATGCTTACAGTCACCAGCCTGTAGTCACACCCACACCATCCATTTAAAGCACATGGCTTCCCCCAAGAATCTTGGGAACTGTAGCTGAACCTTCACAGAGCTACAATTCCCAGCAACCCAAATTCTTACCGACTCTACAACAAGAGATTGCACAAGCGTGCAAGATTACAGGTGTGCATGGGTAAGGAAGAGGAGAACAAAGCTCCAGTAAATTGGAATTTCTGTGTGCCCGGTGATAGCGACAAACTACTGTTTCTTTTGTGGGCTGGTTGTGAATGTCCAAGGGGAAGCCTGGCTGGCCACTGTGGGGAAAAAAGGATATCAAACTAGATGGACCCTCGTCTGGCCTGATCCAGCAGGGGGGTCAACTGTATGTGCCTAGTTTTGACCCATTTCCCCTATTAAATAATTTGATAAATTGAATGTTAGTTTCTTCAGAAGAAATTCTGAAAGCCTAGCACAATTTCCCCCCCATTAGCAATTTACCTGAATCCATCTTTGCAGACAGTGCATTTGTCCATCTCTCCAACGCATTTCTTACAATTCTGATGACATTTCTGACAACGTCTCTGACCTTTATTGGGGAAGAGGGGGAATCAGAAAGATGATCAGTTGCAGATATTGGAGTTTATAAGCTTCAGATTCTTGCAATCTATTTGTCAAATTCACAATAATCTAATACTAAGAGTATAATTCTTTTTAGACCAAGTGGGAAACTAATTCTTAGTTTTTATGACAAAAGAATAACTCACAAAACTTATCAGTTTCAACTTTAAATCAGTAAGTTTCTAGACCTCATTGTTTTGAATAATTAAAACAGCATAATAATTAAAAGCTTGTATATTTTTAATGGGCAAGGACAAATGTTAACGGCTGGTGCTGCAAATTATGAACAGTTCATAATTATGATCTTGTTGAGACTGTTTTGGTTATACCGTGTCACTGTGAGAGAGAATGAAAAAGAAAATACTTCTAAAGCTTTACTTTCTAACAAAGGGGGTTGGTTTATCAAATTGTAGGTGCTCTTACCCTTCAATATTTTTCCTTAAAGATGGGAAGCTACAATGAGGGGTTGACAGTATGCACAACTTGAAATCAATTAACACAGAGACAATTATACTGGGTAAAAACAAAACAAAAACCTTCAATTGGTTAGCAGCCCTTAGCTGAGAAGCATTTCCTTTCCTTACCCTCATCAGAGTAAAATCCAGCTGGACACAGCATCACACACGTATTCGTCTCTTGGTGGTGATAGAAGCCGCGTTTGCAGGCTGTGCACGAGTTCTGGCTTCTGCCCAAGCAAGCTTCACAGCCCCTGTAGCATCTGCGGCATTTCCGCTGCGAAGTGTCCCCAAAGTAGCCAGGGGGGCAGGAATTTACACACTTCCTGGGGGGGGGGAGAGGGAAACACAAGGAAAGTGAGGGGCTCCAGCACAACCAGCATAGTTGTTATGGTCCTGTCTCCATTGTGAGCATCACAGTTCTTTCCTGCCATCTAAATGTTGCATGGTTCTCTGATCGCGCATTCACCTGTTTGCTTTGCCAGCATGTGGCTTCCGGAGACATAAGAAGAGACTGCTGGATCAACCCAATCGGGTCCTGTTGCTTTTTAGCAAGGGCAGGGAAGCTTTTTCAGCCCAAGGACCACATTCCCTCTAGGAAACCTCCTGGGCCACAAACTGAAGCCCGGACACGGAAGTCCAGCTCTGAGGGCCTTCTGGCAGTTCCCTCACTGCGAGAAGCGAGGTTACAGGGAACCAGGCAGAGGGCCTTCTCAGTAGTGGCACCCACCCTGTGGAACACCCTCCCATCAGATGTCAAGGAAATAAACAACTAGCTGACTTTTAGAAGACATCTGAAGGCTGTTCAGGGAAGCTTTTAATGTTTGATGTTTTATCATGTTTTTAATATTCTGTTGGGAGCAGCCCAGGGTGGCTGGGGAAACCCAGCCAGATGGGTGGGGTATAAACAATAAAATATTATTATTATATCAATAATGTACAGAAGGGGCCACAGAAGAGGAGGAGTTAGGGAGACAAGCACCCACCCAGGCCTGCAGCTCGCATCCTCACCTAATCCTCACCTCATTGTTGGACCCCCTGTTTCATATATATTATGTCAATCATAAACTGGAAGAATTATGAGGCTGCAAACCTCAGCATGCTTGAAAGTTAACTCCATAAAAAAATCAATACAACTTAACTTTAGAAAAGATAGATATGATGGGAATGTTTTGTTTTGTTTTTTACATTTATATCCCAGTTGCCCTGCCCCTAAGGAGCTTGAGATGGTGTACTTGTTTCTCCCCCTCCCTATTTCAGCTTCACACAAAGACCCTGTGAGGTAGGTTAGGCTGAGAGACAATGAACGGTCACTCACCCATGGCTGAGTGGGAATTTTGTACCTAGCTCTCCCACCACTAAACCACCGCACCTGCTCCTTCGGAAAGCTCACATGTGCGATAAGACTCCTGTCCACTTTACCTGCCAGTTTTAAGGCTCCCGAGGCTGAAATGGAAACAGTTCAGGCACTGGTCAGCGTTGGGGCCGTCGCATCCTTTGTCGCCACATTCCGTATGGCACGGACCTTAGAGAGACAGACAGTTCTGCTGAAAGAAGAGATATAAAACTCCTCCTAGTTCAACCCACAAAATTGCATCCGGTGTACATTCTATCAAGTGTACCACATAGCAGTAGGATTTTAAAAAAAACAAAAACCAACCCCAAAATGCTGGGAATACTTTGCACTCATTTTCCCTCCTTCCCCAACCCCAAAGGTTTACCATAATCATACCAAGAGCCAAAAGCCAGCAAGGCTCTTTCGGTTGGTGTATGCCTGGCACGAGGAGCACGAAACTTATGTTTTAAAATGGGGGTCCACGACTTAGCTCTCCTTTAGGTGCTCTGCTTCAGACTGCACCATGATCAGTGGTTTAGTGGTCGGGGGGGTGTCATTGCTGTTTCTGTGGCAGGGTCCCTATCTCTGGCATCCTAAAGCTGCTCAATCAGCATGAAAGGGGAGCTTTTTAGCCACTGTATGCTCCTAAAGCTAAGCATTTGCGGACGCTGAAAATACAAGGTGTTTCAGTTTCAGGAGAATGGCTTTCAAGTTCTGTTGCAAACAATGAAACCTTGTGGAAAACACAACTTAAGTCACTCTGAAAGAAGATACAGACCACCCCAAAACATTTGCCCATGTCTATGCACAGAAAATAGGGACGCGGGTGGCGCTGTGGGTTAATCCACAGAGCCTAGGACTTGCCGCAATGGGGTGAGCTCTCGTTGCTTGGTCCCTGCACCTGCCAACCTAGCAGTTTGAAAGCACATCAAAGTGCAAGTAGATCAATAGGTACCGCTCCGGCAGGAAGATAAACGGCATTTCCATGCGCTGCTCTGGTTCGCCAGAAGTGGCTTAGTCATGCTGGCCGCATGACCCGGAAGCTGTACGCCGGCTCCCTCGGCCAATAAAGCGAGATGAGCACCGCAACCCCAGAGTCGGTCACGACTGGACCTAATGATCAGGGGTCCCTTTACCCTTTACCGTATGCAGAGAAAATAGTAGATCTAGCTGAAAGGCAACACACGGAGGAAGGGCCACCAGCTCCTGGGGGCCGAGCCCTTTGGACCCTCCCCAATATTTTGGGGGTAGGGGCCAGGTGCCCCCCAATGCCCCAAAAGCATGGAAACGTTTTATTTGCAGCTGTATAGCTGAGTCCCAGGACTCCCTCCAGGCCACACCCTTCACTGTCCCTGTGCAAATGCTTTGGTCTGTCTGGAATCCATCCCTGAATTTTGAAAATGTCTTGTTTGGGGTCCAGATTTTATTGGTATTGATATATACAGTCAAAGGTATAAGTACCCTTAAGCTTGGTTTTGTTTACTTCTAGAATCCAGATACTGCCAGAAAAAGTGTCAAGGGTATTATGGCAAGCGCAGCCCAAAATGACATAAATGAGCGGAAGAACTTGCATGTCCCACAAAACACAGAGGTCCAATATTGGGACAGGTTTCAAAGCTGAGCTGAGCTATGCAGCTGTGTACGATTCTACATTTTTGAGGGTTTTGCCAACGTTTATGAGACCACCTGGAAAAAGACTCCAAATGCCACAATAAATTTTGTGTGAATAATTTAATAGCGCTGGGGAGGGGTGGGCAGAGCTTGGAAGGACAACAAAGCTGCATCTGCGGCCGGTTTTTAACGGGAGGAGTGGGCTCTGTCCAAAGAAACCCATTCACCTACTCCTGAATTCTTGGCTCACAGGAAGAGGCTGTATAAACCAAGAGTCAAACAGAACCTAACATTTATCTCGCAGCCATAATATTAGTATACAGGATATCAGCCACCGGAAGGGATATGGGATAAATTTGATTCAGTTCACATTTAAAGACAAACCACCATAATTCATACATTACAAAGCAAATACAGGAACTTAAACGCAGCCATCCTTCGAGATTCACACTTTTCCTGGATTTTGCTATGCAGTCCTCTAGCGAAGAAATGTGTACTAAAAGGTATAGGCTACAGTTTGCAAAAAGGCGTGAAAATAACATACAAAAATGCTTTCTACGAGGAGGAGAAATTGCTTTGCAAAACTGAGCGTATTACACCAAACTGCATACAGATCTGTGTATATTAGGATAAATTATCAACACGAAACTGATGGAATTTCACGAGGGAATAATAATTAAAAAAGAAAAAGCAAGCTGATGTGGAGAACTGAGCATAACACTGAAAAACCGAGAAAATGAAATTGAGAGATTTGCCATGCCCTGGTCATGAAAAAGGGGAAGGACTGGTGGTGTGGTCTTCTGCATCCCCACTTTATATGTATGTATTTCATGTGTACTTTAATGAACTGAATAATGAGTCATGGGGGTGTGGGGAGTGTGTGCATAAACTTAGCAGGGCTTATCTTTTCAGTTGCTAATCTGTTAATGTTGTTAATACTGTTTTGTAGAACGCCACACTGACTTGTTAATCATATGACTTTTGCTGTAATTGTGACGCTAAGCTTATTTTTAGTTGCTGCTTTGTTAACAGTGCTTCATAGACAGCAATTGTTTTATTGATGCTCGTCAATTATTTTATATTAATTATGCTGCCTTTGTGATGTTCTATGATGTTATTGTTAGTTGTTTGTAAGCTGTTCTGGGATTCATTCAAATGGAAAGAGGCATAGAAATACAATAAATCAAAATCAATTTGCATTCTGAAATTTAACAGGCATTGTCCATACCTGTCGGAAGTTTATCTGTATAACCTCAAAAGGCTTGGAAACTTCCTGTTGTAATGTGGTTTTAATTTCCTATATGCTAGTAGGGGCCGCATCATGCATTTGGGATTAACCAGTTTGGAATTAGAAACATGGACACCAAATCCCAATGTTTTCAGGAATCTGAACGGATTCTTGTACTCGCTGAACACCAAGGGAGAATGGACAAAACATTGTACTAGTTTGAGATAGGGTCAATTTTTTTGGAAGTCAATGGAGCACCATCTTTGTTCATAGTACTTGTGGTGGACTTGGCAATAAGACGGCTTGGTGTACTGGATTACAAACAATCTCCTAGTTTTTCCAAGATGAGGGGAGTGACAGCTCCGGTTGTTTGCATAAGGAAGTGGAGTTTGAGGCGGGGGAGGGAGGAAGGGACAGACAGAGAAATGGGATTTGGGCACTTTACCTGTGTATTCCTCTTCATCCTCCAGTATCTCCATCTGAGTTTGGAAGAAAGCTGCTTTTGAGGCTTCCATGTCAGAAGATGGCATCTCCAGCATCCTTGACCTGGAGTGATGGGAGCTGGAATTGGAATATGGGCTCTCAGCTGTTCCATATAAAATGAGGCTCCATTCTTTTAACTTTCCTGCAAAAGATTCGGCATTCATAAATATTGCCCTGGTTTGCACATTAATATTAAGCAACAGTGCATTAAACTATGGTTTATATGATAGTCTGGAGCCTGTCCAGGGATTTGTTTACTCCCAACAAACCACAATCTTAAACCACGGCTTGTTGTTACCTTACAACTTTTTAAAAATGATTAATTGGCATTGAAGTGTGAACCTAGCACTGTTCTTTAACTATGGTTTGCTTGGCCGCCCCAACTCAGGTATTCACCAAGCTATAAAGCACGAGGCAAGAGCAGCTAAAAAACAATCCAAGTTTGGAGGAACAAACCATAGTTTGATTGATTGTCTGTGGGACAAATCATGGTTAACTCATGCTTTGTTAAACAAACCATAGTTTAAACAATTTTTGAAACAGCTTTTCCCAGTCTGGTGCCCTCCAGATGTTTTGGGTTACACTCTCATTATCCTAGGCCAGCATGGCCAATGGTGAGAGATGATGGAATTAACAGTCCAAAACATCTGGAGGGCACCAGGTTGGGGAAGGCTGCCTTAAATGAACCAACGCTTAGCATTATGTATGATCCAGGTCATTAAGTCTATTAACTGTTAATAATCAGTCATCTGCCTTAACTGATGGAAATGCTCCCAGGTACCACCTACTAATGGATTATTTGACAAGGTTGTAATGGACACAATTACTTAAAATGGATAAAACACCTATGCAAATTAAGGCGGCTTTGCATCCTAATTTCAAGGGTGATTTCTTGTGAAAATGATCCCTATTTAGGTAAATATTCGCTCCAAAAGGGAGATGTGTAAAAGTCTTGCTAGAACTAATCCTATTCTGTTGTTGATCTGTTTTAATGAATTTGATCCTTGATGACTCTGAAAAGAGAATGTGGAAGAGGAAATTGGCAGTTACGTTTGAAATGAGTGCTTAATGAAATCTTGGTAAATGTGTTACTCTTTTGAAATGTTTGAATGCTCAAATAAAGTGGTTGAAACATCAATTCAAATTAAATAAGTGTGAAAATTACAAAAGTCTACTATATGTTTGGCAGGGGGTTGGACTCGATGGCCCTTGTGGTCTATTCCAACTCTATGATTCTATGTTTTGGAAAGTTCTTGGTTCATTCCATGCACATTTGGAATGAACCAATTTGGAGTATCTTAAGATACTCTAACCAAATATTGCATGATGCTTCCTGAGGTCAAGAAGCAGGTTTTCATCTATGTTTGGATACACCTGGATGCCATTTTGAATCAAGATGGTGGACTGAACCTTTCAAAACTGCACTGATTTTTTTGTTTCCAATATTTCCCAAGCAACACTGGTTATGAGGAAACTAATGTACACATAAGTGACTTTTTGAGATAACAAGGGAATGCAGGGATTGACAATTTAGTTTCTCCTTCATCCTTTAAGACCTCATTGACACATACCTCAGAATGAGGTGGCAGAGTTATGAGACAGTTGAATGGCCTTTAGTGCTTAAAACTACAGAAGGGTGAATCATATTCTTCAACGCTTGCACCACAGCGTAAATATAATTCATTCCCTGGCGGATGTACATTGCTGAGGAAGATCAGTAGTGGCCCGAAAGCTGTCTATCAAAACTGCTGGTCTGCTTTTGATGGTCTTCTAACTGAGGGATCTCCAACATGGTGCTTGTGAGCACCAGTGCGCCCACCAGATTTTGTGTTCTCACACTCCCACAGCAGCCATTTTGTGACACGTGCTCATAGTGCTTTCTCAAAATTCCAAATGTGCCCCCAAAGGTTGGCAAGCTTTGTTTTAATTGGAGGAGTTCCAGACAAGTTTTGAGTGACTTCAGTACTTCCTGGAAGACAGTTTGTAAGTCTGTGCAGTCACCCTTCTCCAGTGTGAAGATTGCAACTTGAACTGGTGTCCAAGATTTACAAATGGCCCTCAAAAAGGCTGGCTACTTAAGCATTTAAACATTTGTTATGAAGCAGAAGCACTAACTCATTCTCAGGAGAGGGGGCTAAAGATTTGCTAACATGTACAATTCCTTGTTTTTTGCTCATTCTTTTCATAAACATGTTGTTGTTGTTGTTGTTAAAAGGAAAAAAACCTAAAACGTATCAACCAGCCTGATTCAAGTCCGCAATCCTAACTCCACTTACCTGGGAGAAAGCCCCACTGAATTCAATAGGACTTACTTCTGAGTAGACATGGTTAGGATTGTGCTGCAATGGTATCACAGAAGCAAAAGGGGGGGAAGGGGGGTTGCCTTTCCAATGAAAGCTCAGGAATGGGGTGGGCTTTGAAGGTTTTATAAAAAACAAAACAAATATCAAGGGCATTAGAAGTAATCCACCTGAGCCCAGAACAAATTTGCTCTAAAGAGCTCCAGGAAGGGCATGAGGAGGAATCTGTTCTCAGGGATTTATTGCTGCTTCCCGTGGTTAATATATGTTGGGAGGCGTTCAGAAAAGAAGCTGCAGTAACTCATTCCCAGTGGGTGCAGTGATCATAAGCAGCACCCACAACGAGCACTATCTTTCTTTCTTTCTTTCTTTCTTTCTTTCTTTCTTTCTTTCTTTCTTTCTTTCTTTCTTTCTTTCTTTCTTTCTTTCCAGTAAGCCTGCAACTTACGCACATTCAGGTTGACATGCCTGGCAGGATAATTTTAAAAAATTAAAAAGGAGGAGGAAAGAGGGCAGGCGTCTGGAAAAAATGACTTCGGCAATCCCACCCACCATTGCACTCAATGTATTTTGACTATGCACGATTTTGGCTTTAGGCGTGATCCCCAGAACATAACTTAAGTTGCAGGTACGCCATTTATCCCTCCTTTCCTTTAAGGGGCTCACATCCGCACCATTGGCTGTCGCTTTTCCAAAGAAAGCTGCCTTACACAAAGGTAAGACGATTGTTCCAACTAGCTCAATATGGTCCACACTGGCCGGCAACAATTCTCCAAGATCTTGGACCGGGACCATTCCAAGTCTAGCAGGTAGATGCTTGGGGAAGGGCCACAGGTGGCTGGAAGAGAATGTGTGTTGTGTGTCCCTGGTGCAATCCAACTTCTTTGCAGCCGGCGCAACAATGCAGACTAGGAGACGGGGAGCTCTCCCAGCCCACCCTAGGGATTCTGGAGACTAAACCTTCCTGCATGCAAAGCATGCTCCACCACTGAGCTACAGCCCTGGCCCAGACCTGTCCTCCTGCTTCCAGAGTGCTTCTTGGTGGTGGAACATCACATTCCAGATCGACAAAATGTAAATATTGAAGAGCAGCAAAGCAGGCACATTTAAAATGCCTGTGCAGCATTAAACAGACTACGTTGCACTGATTTGCTTAAACCGAGTGCAGAAATGTAACACTGTTGGGTGCAAGATGATCATGACTTTCAATCCATCAAATTTATGTTATGGAATCCCAAAATGTCATGGAAAGCGTGAGGGGTACACATTTGAACATCACAGGGAGCTTCTGCCCCATGTTAGTCTTTTACTTTCACATCTGTTTTGTTTTAAATGTGTTTGTTGTTTTTCTGTGTTTAACTTTTTAAAATTATATGATGTGCAAATTGCCTTCAGATGGTGGTTTAGAAGGAGAGTGATAAAGCAATGATCAATAATAATAACAATTCTCCCACTTATTTACAAGTGGCAGGGAGTGCCAGGAGCAGCCCAGGAATTTGAATAAACAAAAAAAAAATTGTGTTTTTAAAATGAATAGCATAATTTGTGCACTTTGAACTGTCGCGTCGAGAATCAGGCCAAAGTCGTGTTTTGGTCTGCCATCTTGATTTAAAATGGCACCCAGCACCCAAGCATCAAAGAAAACCATTGCACCCTACTTTGGAAACCCTCATGCAAAGTTTGGCAAGGATATATCCAGAAGCAGCAGAATCTATGCCAAAAGAAGGGTGAAGTCACATTTTGGACCGCCATCTTGATTCAAAATGGTGCCTGGTGTCCAAACGTTGACAAAGACTCCCATCTTTGTCCAGGTGGCAATATTCCCCTCTGCAGCACTGCCATTTATTTCTACACCCAAATAACCTGAATCTTCTCAGCCCTTCGACAAAGCTAAGCCAAAGCTGGTATGTCAACTGTGAGAGCCTCAATGAAAAATTATAGCAAAGGTCACATGGGGGGGGAGGAAATTGTGCCCCTTTATTTCACTGCCAAGGCTTGGAGACCCAGAATCACACCAAGGAAAGAAAAGGACAAGAATCCTGTCCTTACGCCAGCCTTTTACACCCTGCTGTAAAGGCACAGACTCCTGATATACGTTGTTCAGTGTTTAAAAGTCAACTTGAGGCCTTTTAATGGCATTTGTATCAGAGGTATTTCATGCTGTTTTGCCCAAACTGCAGCCAGTTCCTGAGAACACTGTCTCCTCTTGTATTAACAGGGGGGGAATGTTTCTGAACACCATTCATGACTCTAACCGGGAGCAGGATGGGTTGGGGGTTGGGGGAGAGACTAGGGGCCAGAAATCTTGGAGAGGGAGAAGGAGCGACTCCTAAGGAATGAAGAGGCCTGCGTACCAAGCACAAAAAAACACACCGCCACTTGTTAATATGTCATCTCTCTGTAACACTGCAAAGCTTCAGTCGGCGAGAAATAAATATAGATCTATACCGTATGACGCAACCTACAGAACAGCCCCGTCCAGAGCTAAAAACAGCATGCAAGAGGCGCTAAAAGAAATCCCTACATTGCCAATGCAAACACTGGAGGGAAGCTTGAGTTTTATGTGCTGATTTTCACGTTTTCATGGCTGTGGGGTGAGAAAAGAGGGAAAGGAGTTGTAGGGTGGCAGCCAGTCACATGTCTCACCTGCACCAAACATTTGGGCCTCTCACTGCAAGAGACGACACAGTCCAGAGGCACTTACCTTGCATGTCTGGGTTTCGCACGTGGTATGGCTTATCCTGGATTTCCAGTGTCCATTCTCCTGCTGCCCTTTCTCCCCAGCAGTGGACAGTCATGAACTCCCAGTGCTTGAAACCATTACTAGAATCATCGTGCTGTCTGTTAATAGGATGACAAACATGAAGAGGTCACACCAAGAGGTGGCAAAGAGAACTGGTGGACTATCTAGTTCAACCACCTAATTTAGGCCCACAGGCTGAAGGTTCCCCATCAATGCCGGATTTACGTATAAGCTAAACAAGCTATGGCTTAGGGCCCCATTCTCTTGGGGGCCCCCAAAAAAATAAAGGGGGAAAACTGGATGTACATTTCCAAAATTTAAGATAAAAAACAAATAAAATAAAACCTACATACAGCAACAGTGTTTTGTGTTGTGTAGGCTCCTATGATGTAAGTAATGGGCCCCGCCTGCTAGCCTGCTCCCTAAAATATCACTGGTTTGCCCATTTCTATATACAGGGTGCCTACATTCTGCATGGACTGGTCCATAAATTACCGTATAGCATATATTCAACACAAAAAACAGTGACAATTTGTTGTTGACAAAGGACAGCTTGACATATAAAGGGCCCCATTACCTTCAGTAGCTTAGGGCCTCATCAAACCTAAATCCGGCACTGTTCCCCATGCCTACTCTAAGTAGGACTGGTTGGATTCTACCCATTTGTACTAAAACTAGGAACAGAACTCCCAATTTGACTTCGCCATCGACCCTGAAAACTCTCCTTTTTGGCACCAAAGGAATAGCAATTATTTGCCAACATCCACACATCAACAGAGGGACGCGGGTGGTGCTGTGGGTTAAACCACAAAGCCTAGGGCGATCAGAAGGCCGGCGGTTCGAATCCCCTCAATGGGGTGAGCTCCTGTTGCTTGGTCCCTGCTCCTGCCAACCTAGCAGTTCAAAAGCACGAAGTGCAAGTAGATAAATAGGTACTGCTCCGGCGGGAAGATAAACGCCGTTTCTGTGCGCTGCTCTGGTTTACCAGAAGTGGCTTAGTCATGCTAAGGAAGCTGTACGCCAGCTCCCTCTGCAATAAAGTGAGATGAGCGCCGCAATCCCAGAGTCGTCCGCGACTGGGGGTCCCTTTACCTT